CTCTTTGTGACCCCATGAACCATATCGCGCCAGGCCTTCCTGTCCTTCACTGCCTCCCAGAGTTTGCTCAGTTTGATGTTCATTGCTTCGGGGATGCTATCTAACCATCTCATCCTCTGCCGTCCCCTTCTCCTTTTGCCTTCAATCTTTCCCAGCAGTCACAACCTATATTCATTTTTACTATTAAGCAACAATAATCTTAGTGACATTGTCATACAGTTCTGGTCCCACAACACAGAAAAAATGACAAATTCTTAATAGATGTCCCTATTAGATGGGAATAAAGCTATTCCCATCTACATATGGGAATAGCTTTAATAAAATTGACTGCTTTTTAAAAATTAAACAGGAAGCTTTGTGTTATAATAATTTGAAATTGTGTTCTAATCCTATCAAGTGTTGTTTATTGGATGAATTGCATCCACATTAGTTGTCAGCTTAGAACTTTAACCTACAGCATAATATGGGAAGATAAAAACAGCAAAATTAAATCCAACATTGCATAGGCATTTGTTTTTCTCTGTGACGAATGTTTACCAAAAGTCAGCATTTTGCTCTTAGCTTTTGAATTCAAGAAATATCCTGCTGTCTGCCTATAAAGCTTTATTTCACTCCACGGAAAAGACTTAACATTTTTTCTCCTTCTAGTCAAGTGTAAAAGTATAGCTGCCAGACATATAAAAATGTACATGCAACCAGAACATGGAAACACAATTCTTGAACTGATGCTATGTTCTCTCTCAAACCTGGTTCTGTTATTCAACAAAAATGAAGACTGACTAAAAATGTATTCTAATGTACACTTTCACATAAAATATATATTATACATTTTACTTCATTAGTGGGAAAACACCTATGCTTTTACAAGATTAGTATGCATAAATCTAATAAATTCAAATATCCCTATAATGTCACAGGATTTTATCATGCACAGCTTTATAAGCCCTAGAGCCCTACTAATATTTTTGAACCTTATATAACATCACCCACAAAAAAAACAAAAAACAGATTATTAGCTACGTAAAATTGAAGGGGGGAAAAGCAGAAGCCAAAGTGATCAGATACTGCTGATGATACCGGTAATCCTTTTCCGCGGAATCCACGTTTATCATGATTTGAGAGCAGACCGGAAGTGTGGGGGCTTTCCGACGCGACTCTATGGTTACAGAGCCAGGTACGCTCCCGTCGGGCTGTGCCGGGAATCTTGTTTTCCGAGGGCTCAGCCCAGCCCTTCCGCTTCCGTTTTGGAGGCCGGTGACGGGGGGGGAAGGGCAGCAACGGGGAAGAGACTGCCGGAGGCAGCGGGATCCTGTCGCGCATCGGGTGAGCCGGCCTGGCTTCCCCGCAGCCTCAGACTTTCTTCCCAGGGAGGCCCCCGAACCCAGGCCGACGCCGCCACCCGTCCTTAGGCGGGGACGAGTTCGCGTGTTTCGCTCCCCCGGCCAGGGCTGAGCTTCCGTCGCTCTCGCTTTCTCCCGCCTCGCTCCCCCTCTCCTGGTCAGAGTCGCCCAGGCCCATTTCGCTGTGTCCCATGGACAGGCACAAAGTGAAGCGCCAGAGGCTGGACCGCATTTGCGAAGGTAACCTGAAGTTCGGAAGGGATCGCAGGGCGGCGCGTCTCTCTAACCCGCGTATCGAAAGCTGCGGGAGGATTCGGACCTCGTGTCCCCAGTTTCTTTCCACGTGGTGTTGTGACAGAAGGTTGCTCGTGGAAGTGTTTGCGCCCGCCTGTCTCTGCTGTAAGGCGTTGTGAGCTAATCCTTCCTTTGAAAATGTGGATCCTAGAGCTATGGCCAGGTCCGCCCTGCCCATATACTGAGATGCCCAGATTACAGCACCAGTCCCGACCTGCTACTTAAAAACCGCGGTCTGTATCCTCTTTCTTTGGTGGAGAGAAGGTCAAGCAGTCAAAGAGCTACGCCTGTACTATTTCATCCCTTGTACCACCCCATGAAACCGGATAGCCTTATGATTCCCCACTTGACAGAAGGGGGAAAATGTCTGTTTTTTTAAGGTGGTCAAATATGTGAGGTGTCTCTTTCAAAAGATGTCATAGATAATTATTATTTGCCATTGGAAAAGGGAAATGTATGTTTTCTGTATTAATGTTTACCCTTTTGTCTTGTAAATTGTTATGATGTATCAAAAAATGAGAGTTGCTTAGCCATTCAGCCTTTTAGTCAAACCAGTTTTGTGCTGACTAAATCACATTTTGAATTGTCTTTATCTTTTACCCTTCACCTTCCTGTATTAAGTAGTGGGAATTGAGGGCCAATGTTTTAGAAGGTTGTTTTGTTTTTGTTTTTTTACTTCTGTGGGATATTATTTATTATATTTTTAAGACACCTAATAACTGAAATTTTCTCAGCAGATTATGAAGCTGTTTTTTAAAAAAATAAAAACTGTGTAATAATAATACAGTAAAAGCCAGTAAAATTTCCCAGGAAGAAATAAATGAAAAATAAATGATTAAAGGAAGCAAATCGTTGCATATAAGTTAGTCTTGCTGGGCACCGAAGCATGAATGATGCTATACAATGATACGTACATAGAGATAAATGACATTAGGTTTTCCTCAATTTGGTGTGGTTTACTCCATGCAGAGGTTTTTTTCTTTATTTCTCAAGTTATATGAATTGTATTATATTTAGTTGGGTTAGCATATCACACTATCCTATGGTTTGCTAAATCATGGTTTATTGAATAAATACAATTGGCTAGGCTTACAACTCACTAAGTCATAATCATGATTTACCAACTGTGCTCACACATCATGCTAAAGCAAAAACAAACTACATTGTAACGTAATGTGGTCTGTGGATTCAATTTCCATCTTTGAATTATTATATCATTGCTGAGAAGACTAGTATAGTATCTTGGAAAAATTGTGTATTTCATCATTATTCCCTCAGCTAGAAAGGAGTAAATTGTCTGAGTTCTTTTTTGGATGTAATAACCATTTCTTAGGTGGTTCTTTAAAATCAATTTTCTGCTATTCATGTTTATAAGTGCATAAAATACTAAATGGTTGATAAAAGACATTTGTATGGATGGTCACCACTATTCCATTCCCCAGAATTCTTAGAAGTATGTTAGAATACAGATGCCCACAGTATTAATTTAGTTGATGTTTCACATAGGTATGGGCAAATACCTTCCATCTTACTTTTTTGTATCTGAAAAGTTTAACTTTAAAAGCATTGTTGGATGCTCCCTTATACTGATCAGGCCATTGGCATACTTGCTCGGTAATTTCTGCTCTGATTGCACTAACCCTCAAGGTTCCAGACAGGGATCTTCCGAAGAATGTATAAAATATAGTGATAGAAAGTATGCTCTTCTCTGTATTAGGCAGTAATAATCTTTACTGCATAAAATACTTAATTTATGAAGACAGTAATATGACTGGAAATAACAATGCTGAAAAATCACAAGAGGCTTATCTATGGACCAATGCATTCTTTGAAAAATCAGTTTAGCAAACATAGGAGGCCCATGATAACTTAATCAGATAATTTATTTGAAATGGTATCCTTTTATTGCATTTGTAAGTTTAAAAATGTATAACCTAGATAATCAAAATACTTTGAATATTCTGGAAGGGCATTATGAGATAAAATTAAAAGATGAGGAATGGGATTTTATAAGAATAAAAGTATATAATACGTATTGCAGATCAGTTCTGTAAAATGATTGACTATACTTGACCGTGTAATGTATTACTGTGTGGTATTATTATTATTATTATTATTA